GATATTCATGTAATATATGTGATATCTTTATATATTTGCTTTATTGTTATATTTTTATATATTTGTTATTATTGTTTATTTGTATATTTGTTTTATTATATAGATTATATATTTTATATTAATTTTTTTTTTAATTTTGTTTATTATTTACATCTATATGATTATATCTTAGATATAATAGATAGAAATATTATATATGGTAAATAATAGAAATATATATAGATAGAAATATAATAGAGGTAAATATTATTTATTGTACACAATAGAAATATATATATATAGAAATAGATAGAAATATATATTATATATTTGTATTTATTTGTATTTAAATTTTTGTATTTTAAATACAAAATTTGGTGGGTTTTTTGTATTTATTTTTGCAGTTTTGTGTTTCTTATGTATGAATGTGTTTTTGTAACTGATAACAGAGACTCAGGCACAACAAAACGTGCACAGCCACAACTGCAAATCTTCTCTGAGCTGGTCTCTGAGTTTCCTTATGGCAGCACCCAAAAATAACAGAAATATCCAAGAATTACACCAAATTTCTGTAGAATTTATCCTTCACTTCGCATTCCCTGCCTCAGCTTTATCACTGTGGAATGTCTGGCTGGAATAAATAAATGTAACCTGGGCTAGGCATTACCCAGTGCTCTTAAATGTCATTTATGAGATTTCTGGGAGCCTGCAAGGAAAGTGATGCCACTCCAGGTTATCTTGTTTGCATTTCATAGCAGTAAAATTCATTAAAAACAGTAAAATTCATTAAAGAATTGATTTCTAGCCTTTCCTAAGGTTTGTTGTTCAATTCCCACTTGCTGTGCTTCCAGGAAATGCTTTCTTTTTATCACATATTTCTCCAAAAGCTGTGAAGTCATCCAAAAATTATCCAAAAATTACTGTTCAGGAGTGGCAGCCAAGCCAGGGAGAGGGAGCAAAGAAGCTTTGCCAATTCAGTTTCTTTATCATTCAGTTTCTTTATAATTCAGTTTCTTTATCATTCAGTTTCTTTATAATGCGCTTTATTTATCATTCAGTTTCTTTATAATTCAGTTTATTTCTCATCCAGTTAAACTCACTTTACCTGCAGCAGGCTGGGTTGGTCAGGCAATAAGGAAAATCTATCAAAGAAATGCAGGTTCATTTTAGGATGCACAGCCAAGTCATCAGTTTAAATATTAAACAAGAACTTCAAAGGAAAGCCTGCTATAAAGGTGAAAAGTAATTTTGGGGTTTTTTTACTGCTCTAACTGTAACTTGGATTACTGTAACTCTGCTTCCTGAGCCAGAACCATTTCTATTAACAATATTTTCTATCAATGTAACCTATTGTGTTCATGAGGCAGGAGGAGTGATGAACCTGCCTCCATGCTCTCAGAGGGCTCATTTATTATTTTATGATACTATAATATATTAAACTATACTAAAGAATACAGAAAGGATACTTACTGAATGATAAAAAGATGATAATGAAAACTCCTGACTCTGGAGTCCTGACACAGCTTGGCCCCAATTGGCCAAAGAGTGAAAACAACTCCCAATAAAACAATCACCTGTGGGTGAACAATCTCCAAACACATTCCAAAGGAGCACACACAGGAGAAGCAAATGAGATAAGAATTTGTTTTCCTTTTTCTCTGAGGCTTCTTGGGGAAAAAACCCTGGGTGAAGGGATTTTCCCAGAAAACATGAATGTGACAGTGACCCTGAAGGATGTTTTGCCATTTGAGCCATCCTTAAAGCAGGAATTTTCCTGCTAAAATTGTGCTTTTAAAACACATCAGTTTGGGGTTTGGGGAGAAACCTGGTGCTGATCAGATGCATCAAATCCAGTCCTAAATTGAGTGTTAATTCCAGCAGGGTGGATACAAAGAGACACAAACCTGTGTTTGTTGGAATTCTGTTAGTCCAGCATTGAGAACAAGCCCTGGCCCCACTGGGGAAGGGAACTCAGAGCCACTCTGTGAAGGTTTTGCTCCAGCAGGAGCTCAGAGCTGTGAAGGTTTTGCTCCAGCAGGAGCTCAGAGCCAGTCTCTGTGGAGGTTTTGCTCCAGCAGGAGCT